CAGGTCCCTTCCGACCCTAGAAACTATGAAACTATGTTTTAGGATGTTATTCATATAATGACATAAGAAAAACTTATTTATTACTGTTCTTGTAGAAATTGATACATTTTTCAAACAGAGAAAGTAATCTGGCTTTTACAGCCAACAGATTCAAATTTAGTGAACTGTCTTGCAATTTTTGCTTATAAGGCTGAGGCAATTAGAGTTAAATATGAGGGGTGTGTGAAGTGGACCCTATTCAATTCGAATTCAGCCTGATTCAATGAATTGATTTGGATCACTGTCCCTAATTTGATTTGGCTGAATCTGACTCTGAAGAGTCAATGTTGATTTAGAAAGTCAGCGATTTGGACATAGATACAGCTTTAAATGTTTTTTCTACATACCTCAAGGTATCAGGTGTGGCTCATGAATGCTGTGTGAAATACTTCTCCCAGGGAGAGCGCTGAGGGGCCCTCCTGCACCTCCTGGCTCGGTGATCGGCCATGGGGGACACTGGGTGCCCCCCCAGACCCAGGAGGCACCAGTCACAGAGCCAGAGGGGAGCCCAGGGCCCCTGCACATTCCCCAGTGGACCCGTAAGTGGACCGGAAGTGCTTCTGGTCCACCTCCAGGTCTGCTGCCGAGTGCACTGGGGATCCCCCTGCACTCCTGTGGGATGCTCCATCCACCCCAGCATCGCAGCATTTATGAGCCACCTGTTACCTCAAGGTATGTAGAAAAAACATTTAAAGCTGTGTCTATGTCCAAATCACCAAAGCTTTCCAAATCTGTCCAAATTGATTTGGAGAGTTCCAGTTTGATTCAAAGAGATTAAAAGGTCCTCTGATTCTGTTTGGATTCAGAGAGTCAGCCACCAAATGGGCCAAATCTCTGCTGAACTGAATCAGGGACCGAAACTTTGCAGAGCCCTATCAAATATCCTTTATTACTGATATGAGTGATACAATTTAACATTAGGTTTGATTTTATTGTTTCAACTGTGAATCTATGTACGTTATAGATTCACGTCTTGATTTACTACTATATGTATATTAATAATGTTTTTATATTGGTGGGCTCTATTTTTAGTATAATATTTGTAGTTTGCTTACTTTCTTTGAAGGTATTTATATTACGGTTGTATGTGTGTTATGTCATTTTTGGCAGCATGGCATTTAGCCAGAATCCTTAATAATTTGAATTGAAATTAAATTGAGGGGGGTAGGACAAGCAATAAGTCCTGTGCATGGAGAAGGTACAACTGGAGCACAGCAAGGGATGGGCAGCCTGAAGTGCTGGGTGGTTTACAAGGGATGGCCTGCAGCTAGTACAAGGTTAAAAACCTCTAATATAATTTAAAGTGCAGACACCACATTGGGGCAGGAGACTACAAACCTGAAATGATGCCGTCTTGGTTGAATCACATGCTTTGTTACCTATGTCCTGAAAAGGCTGCTTGGTATTTAAAAACTGGGCATTCCCCAAACACCATTATCAGGTGAGTGTGCTTAGAGGAAACAAAACACCAACTAATGAGTTCAATGTGTTGGGGAGGAGAAGTGGGCTAAACCTTTGGCATAACAGCCTGAGGCCAAATACAGAGATGGATTTAGACACATTAGGCTTCTTAGGAATAAATTAGGCACTTAAGTAAAAATCAATGAACCTGGACTCTCTTTGATTCTCCATTTATGGAATAGGACATTTTCCATGAAGTGTCTGGATGCAATACAGGGAGGACCAAATCTTTCTCAGTAGGTCAAATTTTGGCTGGAGGACTGTAGGGTTGCAAAAGATGTATTTCTGCAGCAGGCTGGCATTTGTCCAAGCTTTCCTCCTTTGTTCTTCGATGCTCCTTGGGAGTATTTCCAGATGGGATTTCTAGATTTGAGCCTATCTGGTGGTGGTGTAGTGATTTTCTTATTGATTGGGAGCTTTGGGTTACTGATGGCCTTATGGCAGGGTCAGGCAATAATTTCGGGCAGAGGGCCACTTACTGAGTTTTGGCAAGCCATTGAGGGCCACATGACAAACGGCTAGAGGCAGATAAATATTCATTTTCTAAAATTTTTAGGGGCCCTGTGGGCTGGATAGAATGGCCTGGTGGGTCACATCCAGCCCGTGGGCCACATTTTGTCCACCCCTTGGCCTTGTGGTATTCCCTCACACATGCAGCATCATGGCAGAGCTGTGGGGGAGCAATGTTTGCTAGGACTGGAAGCCATGCCAATGGTGTACTTTTTCGTGTTCCTGATATAATTCGCAAAGCTGCATTTAACTGAGAGTTCAATACTAGGCCCCTAAATTTCCCCATTTAAAGTACAGGAAATGTATAAACTTAACTCAGGTTAATGAATTCCACTCTTAGAGCTTGGGTTTTTGCATATATTTCCTTAAAAGCATATTTAATACAGACCTGCAGAGTGCCTACAAGAATGTGAGTGCTTGAATGCCTTTTTCAGGGAAGAATAATAATGACAACTTAATTAAATAAATATTCCTTCTCCAACAAGTGTCTACAGTAAACCAACACCGGAAATGCACGCTGGATTTTCTATCGTAAGTATAGCTAGCTCAATTCTGCAGGCAAGACTGAACTCTGCACTGCCTATACAAAAAGGAAATGTGAAATGATCAGTAGCACTCGTCCCCAGGGATATAGGTAAAAAGTGGTTATGTGGCATTATCTCTGTAGCTACTTTATAAGGAACTTAGATTACAAGCCACTGAGAAAGAATAGAAGAGATATCTAATCTACTGTTTCTAAGATGATTTCAAGAAATCATGAGCAGCAAAATATAATAAAAGTGAAGCACTCAGAAATTTGTTCAGTGTTGTTTGGTTTGGCAAACTGCTGGTATGATCGAATACTCATACTCAGAAATTTTCCTCTGTCTCATCCAGAATTGAAGAAAGATGGGTCACCTAGAAATCTGAAGTAGATAAGTTATTTCTGAAGAATTACTGACCAGATAAAAACAGAGCTTTACTGTAAAATGTTTGTACACTGTGCAAAGTTATGTTCTCCCCTCTCCACCTCCCAACTGCAAGACCAGCTGCAGTCCTCCTACAACATGGGAGTGTCTACAAGGCGGAAAACCAGGCTGGTTGAGTTAGCTTTGTGCACACTAGTTTCCAAACTGGAAGCAGCATAGCTTTTTGTGCAGTGCTGTGTCCCAGCTGATTAGTCCAGTTCAGTCTAGTTCCTGAACTGGCATGACTGTGCTCTTAGCAGTTTTGCATCCCGGTACCTGCACCTTTCCCACTGCTCAG